TTTGATCTTCCAAGCTGTTTAATGGCAGTCAGTGGGTGTTGCAGTTCATCAGTCCAAAAGAAGTGAAATAAAGGGGGTGAACAAAGGCCTCCTGTAGCGAATCGATGCATTTTTGCAAGAAAAATATCCATATTTGAAAACGTAATAATCACTTTAATCTAGCTTGCGCTCACTGTTATAAACGGAAGCAGCTCCGGGCGGATGACGTATGAGGTCGGCTTTGCGCATGCACCACTCAGAAGTGACGAACGCGGAAGCTCAGCAGAGAGATCAAAACAAAACAACGGTCAAGTACAAAACGAGGATTTGTAAAGAAGAATGTCGGAGGATTTCGATATAAGCCAAGAGGAGACTGGTTTTCCTTTGCTAAAGTAAGGAAACTTTGCTTCCTTTGATCCTGTAAACAAACGTTGGTTTTCACGAGACTCACTGGCGCATGCACAAAGCCGACCTAATACGTCATGCTCCCGGAACTGCTTCTGTGTACAACTGTTGGCGCAAGCTACATTAAAGTGATTATTACGTTTTGAATATGGATATTTGTCTTACAAAAATGCATCGATTCGCTACAGGAGGCCTTTGTTCACCCCCTTGAGCCATGTGAGACACTTTTTTATTTTTGTGGATGGGCACTTTTTATTTCACTTCTTTTGGACTGAAGCACTGCAACACCCGCTGAATGCAACGATAGAGCTTGGAATAGCCAGGACAATTTTTAATCTAACTCTGACTGGATTTGTCTGGAAGAAGAAAGTCATATACACCTAGGATGCCTTGAGAGTGAGTAAAACACAGCCTAATTTTCATTTTTGGGTGAACTTACCCTTTAATGTAGGTCAATATAATAAACTTTTGTATTTTTAAAACTGAATTTCACCATAATCAAAAGTTAAATTATCTATAAATCTATCATCTTTATCTATTTATCTATTTATCTTTATCTAGGGAAGTCGTGGCCTAATGGTTAGAGAGTCGGACTCGTAACTCAAAGGTTGTGGGTTCGAGTCTCATACCGGCAGGGATTGTAGGTGGGGGGAGTGAATGTACAGCGCTTTCTCCCACCTTCAATACCACGACTGAGGTGCCCTTGAGCAAGGCACCGAACCCCCAAATGCTCCCCGGGCGCCGCAGCATAAATGGCTGCCCACTGCTCCGGGTGTGTGTTCACGGTTTGTGTGTGTTCACTGCTGTGTGTGTGCACTTTGGATGGGTAAATGCAGAGCACTAATTCCGAGTATGGGTCACCATACTTGGCCACATGTCACGTCACTTTCACTTTATAATTATCTATAGTGCAATTTTCACTTAAGTCAATGTTTAAGTTTGCTTACTATAAATAAAGACCATTTTGAAACACCTTATTTGTTTTTATCTCGATGTCTTTTTAAAATTTGCATCATTTCCAATTTTTTTTTTATGTACTAAACAGAAGAAAAAAAAACAGAAAAATTAACAAAACCCACAATCATTTATGTATTCAATAAAGCTGTCACACCACTGTTTCCTTTAACTTTCTATATAAAGATGCTTTTTAGACAAATATATATTTTGTTTCATCATATTGAACCATCTTCTCAATGCAAAGTGAAATGTGACCCTGGAGCACAAAACCAGTCTTAAGTCGCTTGGGTATATTCTTAGTAATAGCCAAAAAACATTGTATGGGTCAAAATTATCGATTTTTCTTTTATGCCAAAAATCATTAGGATATTAAGTAAAGATCATGTTCCAT